AATAAAATTGCTCAGAATCAGATTTTTCACACTAGAAAGCAAAATCTCAGCCCAGAAAATAAGTGGTTCTCCGGTGTGTGTGTATACACACACATATATATAAGTATATATACATACACACCATTGTGTGAGTGTTTACAAGCCACAGCCTGTGCTGAAAACAGCTGGTCCCGTGGACATTGTGGCGTGGGACCGGGGAAGGATGGCGTGTCTCCGTGCATCGGGAGTTCTCCTCCCCTCGTCCCAAAATTTCTCCAGCCAGGCAGAGCAGCGGGTAAAAGGAAAGGCTTTGACGTTCACGCTGGCACAGGCAAAGAAAAAAACAGACGTTTATCATAAATGCGTGTGCCCAGCCTAACAGGCTAGTTTGCATGCTCTCCAACGCTAATTTGATTTTTAAAGCAAGGGGCAAGCACGCAGCAGAGTTTTCCCCTCCTACTTTGCTGCTTCCCAGCAATACCTACAAGTCACAAACCATCAAAAACCAGTGAGTTTTTGTGGGTTTTTTTCAGTTTGCATCGAATGGCACGTTCAGTGAAAGATAGGAAAACTTTTAGGACTATTAAGGACCAGAAAAGTGCTATTCATTAGGGCCAGTTCTCTACTTAATTAGAGCACAAGAGCTCACAGCCACGGCCCAGTAATAACAGGCACCTCTACAGGAATAAAATTATATACAAGGAACCATTTTAACAGGATGGAAAGAGCCCTGCCTGGCTGTCAATGCTGCGTTACACATTAAAGCAAGGCTGCTGACTGCTGCGATCCTTGCAAAAAATTAATTTAGTGGAAGAGGGTTCATGTCAACAGTAAAGGTGCCTCTTGTTTTGGAGGGTGCTGGCGTTGGTGCTGTGTTTGAACCCTCTGGGGATGCTGAGAGCATCCTTTGGTTTGCAGCAGGAGGGCGTCAGCCAGTTGTTTTTGCCATCGGATTGAGGCAGGAGTAATGATGCTCTAGAGACAGAGCAGAAACCCAGCACTGGATAACTACAGCAGACATGTTAATCCTATATAATATATCCTATACGGTAACACACACTGAGACAACTTGACTCTGCTCTGTCTAGGACCAAAAAAAAAAACCAAACCGCCCTTTGGGGGCAGAATTTACAACCGGGTTGACGATGCCCATCGATTCCAAAGACCTGGCCCCAAATTTTTCATCCGGTCTAGATGATGTAATGTGGCACCGTACAAGCAGTTTCAAGCGAGGCTTCCCCCGTGCAACCCCAAAGCTGTACAAAGCACGATGGTCTGTGACAAGGTGTTGACTACCAGGAGCTGAGTGTTTTCTATTCTCATGCTTCGGCTGACTCAGTTTCACTAGGAATGGAACAAAAACACATAAGCTGTATAGTCTGCGGTCCTGTTAGACCCTTTCTATTTATAAACTAGCTCATTAGGGTGATCCTAAAGGTATTACAAGCCCTCTGCGGTTGCTGTTCGGCACGCTTGGCTTCGCAGAAAATGACACGTGTTCGCAGAGGGCAAAATAACCGAGAGTGTTATAGGTATCGTGGCTTTAGTTTCTCTTCTGTCTATGTCTTTTAAGTCGTGTTCGATTGCCAACGAGTAACATATCTCTCTCTCTCTTTCTCTATAAGACTACCGTTGGCAGAAAGTGTTTCTCGCTTTCCATGTTCGGTAACTTTAGTCTGCTTTTTCAGCTATTTATATAAGTTCAGGAAGATGTCAAAGAAAAGGGCAAGAAGCAGTATTAAAAAGTGTGTGCATGAAGCACTTATTTTTATATGCGTAGTACAATATTTGTATAGAGTTTTAACACTGTGAAGTGTAGCGAAAAAAAAAAATCACACTATCCATTTACTGGAGGACAATCATGTATGTTTAAACGGAACGAAGTGAAAATGGCATCTCAATTGTCCATTACGAGGAAATTATAACCGGGATTAAATTCTGTGAAGCAAGCCTGTAATTCTAGAGTAATCCAAGGACATTAACTGGACTTTGAAATATCATTAAAACTTTTTAAACCAACATGCATGCCTCAAGTCCTTTTACAGCCCAAGTTTCATCTGAAAGGGTTATCCTGTGCATGGGAAGTAAGAGCACACTTTGCTCTGCAGGGATCCATTTGAGGTCAGACAGGTGAGGTCACAAGCTGCTCGGCAATGCCGAGAGCGTTTTCAACGTGCACTTTGGTGACGCTTGGCATGCACACGCAGCAGTAAATCAGCAGCGTTATACTTCTGCACTTTTAAGTAAAAAACATCAAGGGGTTAGGGTTTTTTTCCCCACCACCTCTTCGGCCAATATTTATTTATCTGTCAACACTGCCGGAATCACTTTTGTTGTAAATTTATTACAGTTGTAATGCTTTTGTTCCTTACCTGATCCCTGTTCCTTACGTGATGGAGATGTCTCGGGGAGCGACATCAACAGCAAGACAACAACACGCAAAAATAAGGGGGGTTAGATGGGGCGTTACATGATTTAGGGCTGTGAGGGATTGGTCCCACCTTGGGAAGAGCCTGTTGCCTGGTTGCTGACAGGTAAATCAGCTACAGCCCTTGTCGTTTTAAGAAGATGAGGACCTGCTACTTGGAAAAACCATCATAGTTAAATGACCGAGCAACAGCAATTCCTGCTTCCATGCCCAGAACAAGGGGTGGTTTTGCACCTTTACAGAGAGATCCTGAGCCCAAGAAATGGGGGCAAGATCTGGTACCTCGCTACTGCCAGCACACAGCACCCCACCAACGGCCCTCCCCCTACCAAGCCAAAAGAGACTTCACCAAAATAGCTTGACATTGTTCCTACAGACTTACAAAGAGGTCAGCTGTATTCTGGGCTTTAGCAAGAACAGCAGCTCTGCCAGCTCTATTATTTTACCTCATTAGCTTTTCCTGATGGCCTGCTTTCATTTTCTTTGAAATCAGAGCAATGGCAGAATTCACTTTTGTGCTTCAACGTTTCCCCTCTCAGACAACTGAGATTCCCTTTTTGCTCAGCAGCAGCTGGCTGATCAATTTTGGAGAGCAAGAATGATTTTTCAAGAAATCTCAAACCCACAACCCAACTTAAAAAAACATTATTTCCCATTTGTAAACATGTGGGTTCCCAGTGGATAGCAAGACAAAGCCAAAAACCATATCCCTCCTCCACGAACAAGTCTGACACGTTTGAGCCGTAAAGTGATGAGAAGATCAATGGCCCCGAAAAATCAGCAGATGGCCACAAGTTTGGCTGCTTGCAGGGCAGGAGGTACAAAAAATGCATTTTCCTTCTTCCTTCTTCCAGCCAGCGCTTTCCTGGAGGTCTCTACAGCACACAGCCTCACATCTGAGGTGCAAAGCGAGAATAAAACACATCTGAGGATCACACAACTCCACCTTTGGAGCTGGATAGACCCTGAAACATCCCACCCAGAAACTATGTCCCATGTCCCGCTGAAACCTCCTCTAGAATTCCATGGGACACTGTCTCCAGTGACTTCCAAGGGGAGCTGCTTTATCTTTCAGCTTGCATGGCTCCCTTTTCCCACTAGCCCAGCTAAATCTCCCACAGACCATCTCATCTCCCCATTACATACCTACCTTGGATTTCCCTTTTTTTGGGGAAAAAAAAAAACCCCAATAGCCCCAAAACCAGATCTTTGAAGGGTGACGTTACAAGTCAGGGACCACAAATCACCGCTGTTCACTAGCTGCCAGGGGGTCAGCCCATACCCACCAACCCCTCTCCTTGGGGGCTGCTTTGGCTGGGGCTGCTCTCTCCCTGGAGATGCCCTGCCACCTCAAACTCCTCTCCATGTCCAAAGACTTGTCCTGGCCCCAGCTGCCTGCAGGACACGGGGACTGTGCGTGTCCAGGTTTGTGGCTGGTTAAGGGAAGCACTGGAAGAGTGACGTTCCTTGGACCCCAGACCCACCTCGTGCATATTCAGCCCCAAGTTGTGAAGATGTTAAAAAGCAGACAGCTTCTGGTGGACCTGTAGATAGGTTGCACACAAATTTCCTCTGTGGGATGCATGCAAACAGCACCAGACAACCACAGGCTCAGACAGTTCCTAAAAGCCCGCATCAGAGCCTGGAGACAGCAGAAGGATTCTCCCCTTTCCCCTCAGCGCCTAGGGTCAGATCCTAATTTAACATCTCTTCTGCAGCTCCAAATACTGTTGGTAAATTCAGGAGGGATAAGACGTTGTGCAGGAGGAAAGTTGTGTCACGGTCAAGGTTTGCAAAGGAGCTCTGCGAGGCGGCTCAGCCCGCGGATGCAAGTTTCTCAAGTTTATATCCCACGATAAAAATAAGTAAAAAATAAAAAAAGCGGAGTATTGCTCGCCTCCCGAGCACGTACGCAAGGCACAAACGGCTATACGTTGAAGGAGAACAGCAGAGAGAGCGAAGAGCAACTGTGGTGAGTAGCGCTATATTTAACGACTGGCAAGTTGCCCAAATTCCTGAAAATTTTTTTTTTCTAGGCTTTGGCTCTGTTCAGCAGCGAGCTTGTTCTCATGTAAAACGGCACTGGCACCTAGTGGCTGCTGGATTCACCCACAGCACCCCGAAACGGCATGCAGGTAGGAGGGAAGGGCTCTTTGTCACGGTACGCCAACAGTAGATGACAGCCTCAGTGCTGCTAAAGAGCAAATAAAACAAAGGACTTCTTTCAACAGCCCTTCTCACGCTGCAGCGCTCAGAGCTGCTGAATTTTCTAGATGCAAAAAAATTGTGAAAGGTTCCAGAAAAACTCCGCCAAAACTTCAAAAAGCCTGTGCCCACTGGTGACAAATAAATAAGCCTGCTATGCGGTGCTGTGGGGCACCGGTGGGACTCTGCAGATACCCTGATTCTGGCTCAACACCTCTTCTCCCATGAGAACCACCAACTTCCTAAAAACTCTGTTTAGGGTCATATGCTCACGTTTCAGAGGGTAAATTTTACCCATGAGCATTTTAACTGTGCAATTCAATTTTGCTTGCATAAACATGTTCAGTATGCACACTACTAAAAAAAAAAAAAAATCCACATTTAGTTTAATGCAATAATACAAACAAAATTATCTGAAACAATCAAATAAAACATCTCAGTGTTGCCTGAAGAAAAAAAAAAATGAACCACTATTTCCTTTTCCCCAATGTATTTCTTTAAGGAAAACAGGATTTATTCTAGCTTACACAGTGTAAGAAAAACAGCAAGTAGAGAGTGATTCGTATACCAGGATTCATTACGCAGCACCATTTTCAGACCAGAAAGCAGCCCCTGTGTTTCACCTGACCCTGTTTTAAGGGGCCGTGATGTGTTTCACCATGCACGGTCCCACATGAAAACACGAAGAAAGTGGGAAATACTTTGCAAGAAACTTTCCGGATCATTTTGGAACATGCGCATCGCTGCACTGACCACGCCTGTCCCACGGCACAGCGGGACGTTGGAGCAGCATCCTCTGCTGCTGCCCGTATCCCACAGATGCCACCGCTGCCATCGGAGCGATTTTGCTGACAAGAGCAGGGCGGATGGGCTGGCTGGGTGAGTGATTAGGAAAGGACATTAAGAGCATCTTCAGGGATTTGATTCCCAGCGTTGTTCTTCCAAAGCTCTCTTGCCTGACTCAATATTGCAATTGCTTTGAGTTCCTCCGGATGGGGATGTCTGAGACTGATTGCTGCTGGTTTAAAATGAATAATTCATTCTCTCCTACTGATTTTAAAGAGAGGCAAAATTATCTGACTGACGGTTCTCTGAAGAATTAAATAGATTGCATACAAAATTGGTACACATTGTTGGAGCTTATTAAACATTTACAATTGTTTAGCTGTAAGACGCTACAAGAATCCTAAATCCAGATCTGAAAGGCATATTTTCTTCTCCCTGTGGTCCCCAGATCTACCACTGAAAGAGGCTGGAAGAGACTTGAGGACTGTGGAGCCACCCCATAGTGGCGCTGGTGGGAGGCACCTCAGGAGGGACCTGCCACCAGCACTGCGTCAAGGTGGTCATGGCTTTGTGCACCCATCTCCTGAAACCCCCAGGAGAAAATCCTCTACCTTCCTGGGGATCTTTCTGTGCTAAAGCCCTTTCAGCCAACAGGTTTTGGGACTGTCCTTCTGCCTCTTCAATGGTATCTTCATTCTGTGCTTTGATGAAACCCTCTATTGATCTCTCACGTGGGTTGGAGGCACACCACGAGCCCTTCTGGTGACCTACCTGTAGGTGATTCAGGCTTTGGGCATCAGGTCTGGGCAGCCCTTCATCCAGCCAGATCCTGCTCACCTTGTGTCCTTCCTGATGCTAAAATGAAGCAGGCTGAGGTCCATTCAGAGCTGCCTCACCCACAGTTTTAATTCATAAGTTCAATTCTTACTGGTTTCCATCTGAAGTACCTGAAATATAAAGTCATTGCCATTAAATCCAACCCTGCTCTGGCTGGACATCAGTCACCTTTTGCTAGCAGCTGCAGGTTCTCCCTCACCAACAGGTCCCTCCCAAAATCCTCATCCTGCGTATGGTCCCCAGTGTAATCCCAGTGCCCTCCCACGACACCCTCAGGCACATGTAGGCATCCTTATGTTTTTTTACCTTTTTGATGCATCTCAAAGTGATATTTAGAAGGTAAAATGCCATCTGCTGACCTTTGCTGTGATCGGAGGTCTGGGCAGGAGCTTAACACAAGGACAAGGGTGCACAAAGCCAGCCTCAACATCTTTCTTGCCCAGCATCCTGCCTGTGGACCGTGGCACAGATACATGATGTCTTCAGGTCATAAAATCAGAGAAAATGTAAGTAGGCCTTCCAGGGACTTGGTAGCCTCCAGCCCACCTGTAGTTTCTTGAGCCACTTGTAGTTATTGGAGAGCTTTCAGAAGGCTTCTCTTCCAAAAACTTGCCCAGCATCCCCTTGAAATGCCACAAACCAACTTGTGGTGGGCGGCACTGAGCCCACCTGGCACACTGGTCGGCTCAAAAGTGACATTTGTGAGAGAGAATAACACAGTCTAGCAGGAAAAAAACTGCCCACTGCTTCAATATTTTATTTTGCAAGTGACTGACCTTCCTTTCCTTACTCGAGACCTCTGAGGTAGGACCTTATACAGCCGCTCTCATCAGGCACCCGTGAAACCCACACCACTGATTTATGGAGAACCCTGCGCAATTCACTTCATGACACTGTTGCCCCACCACCCCCTGTCTGTGGTGGCTTTTAACTCAAAGAATGAACCCTCCAACTGCCCTAAACCAGAATGATCAAATGAAATAATATTCAAATCTTTCTTATGAGTATCTACCCTACTTATCCCTTTAGCATCCTAAGAGGTCAGCTTTGCACTTCAAGCACGATTGAGGAGTCTTCTCTTCTGATGCCTTGTGAATTCAGCAGCTCTTTCCACTTTTATGGACTGGGGTTAATTTTATGGACTATTTTATGGTCTGGATTAGCTCCCGATATGCACTAATTCTCTCCAAGGGAGCCTATTCGCAATCAATAAGCACTTGTTTAATGACTAAAGAAAAACAGTTACATCTTTTATTACAATAAGAATCAACTGCATTGAGGTCTGGCCAGGAGCAGGAGCCGCTGGAATGAGAATACATTGGACTAGTGAGAACGAATTGCAGGTAAAGGTTGAAACTTTGCAGGAAATCGAGCTCACACAGCAAAGGATGAACAGCCGCGCTCGAGGGACAGCAATGACGTACAGAGTCACATACGCCACAAAAAAAAACCTCCCAGGCGTGCATTGTGGACATCGCAGGTGACAAATCTACCACTCAAAGGAAACAGTTCCTTTAATGAAGGAGATCACCTACTGAGTTGTGATTTCAAATGCTGAAGATGTGCCTTCAAATGGAACGGAGAGAGCGTGAGTGTTGGACAGTTTTTTCTTGTAGTGCCCGAAGTACCGTATCCTGTAGACGCCCGGCTCTGTGCCATGAGGGATGTGCCATTCAACAGTCACATTGCTCCGACCAAGTAATCCTTTGGTCCAGTAAAATCTAGCAGACAAACAAAAAACTTCAGTCAGCAAGAAAATCCACTTTTCCTTTGTTTTAATATCCCAAGATCTCACTAAGTGGAACGAGATGAATGGACCCCAGTTAAGTATATTTTAAGCGCTTCTTTTAACCTTTCCTCATACCTCTGGGCTATCAGAGCAGTAATCAACAAGCCAACCCAAAACCTGGCAGGGCTGAAAAATACCCAGAAACACGGAAAAACAAGTCAGCGGTCCTTTTTGCAGATGGAGAATATTTCTACCAACGTGCTCCTACATTCCCAACTCCGTATCATAACCCCATGCAATATTACCTCTGTGAGCAGCATTTGTCAGCTTAGCCTTCCCTGCGCAGGGAGAGTGCTGAACCAAGAGGATGAGTTTTTACTGAAGGTCATGAGCAAAATCTATCATAATTGAGCTGAGGGATTCTGACACCCATTTCCGCATCAGAGTCTCATTTTCTTTTGCAGACTTCTCATGCAAAACCACTTCTGCTCAACCTCAAAACTCTACAGACAGCCACACATCACCTGCAGGTGAGGGATTTTTCAGCCGGCGGTGATGGCACATTTCTTGAGGAGATTAAGAAGGTTAACCTGCTCTTTTTTTTTTTTTTTTGATACTGCCAATGAGGGGTACTGCTGGATATCTCCCTAATTGTGAGTTATCAAGACCTACTGAGATAGCAACCTCCATTTCATGGCTTTAACTAAAGGAAACAGATGAACAAAATATGTTGATTCATCGGCACAGTAATAAAAAGTTTCCCATACCAGTCTTACCGAGAAGATTGAAATAAATATTTACAGACCTGACTGGGAGAAAAACAGTGAATGATGGGAGAAATTTGGTTTGGTTTGGTAAACAGAGACCACAGGCTGACACAGGGCTCAGGTATCCGCCTGGTTGCTCTTGTCCAAGGTTTTGGCCGTGGATTGCACTGGCTTGTCTTGGGACAAAGACATTGTCTTGGGACAAAGACAACGTTGTCTTGGGAGATGACAGCAAGGTGACAGCACAAGGCCCAAAGTGGTGGGGGATGTCCATCCTTGGGGACCACCACGACCTGCCTGGACGTGGCCCCAAGCAACCTGCTCTAGCTACGACATATGTCCTGTTGGGAGCTGGGTTGGACCAGAGAGCTGCAGCCTGAGCCTGGCTGTAACGCTGTGACCTAAAAATGCTGCCATGATAGATCTATGCCACCACCCAGCCTCCTCCCCATCCTGCCCTCCAGGCTTGGTAAACCAGGATCACAGGTCTGGGACTTGGGAACTGGAACGTAGCTCAGATCCCACCTGGGAAGAGGCTTCTCACAGCTGAGCTCGTGGGGATTTCACCATGTCTTATCTCTGTTGGCTGTTTGCTAAAGGCAGGGCCAGGCAAATTCCTGCCTGTAGCTCAGCCCCTCCTCCTAAACAGTCCCAAGAAAGCAATTACTGCCCTCAAGGCAGACACAGGGTGGGGCCAAACGTTTCTCTGCTGCAAACACCAAGGCAGCATCCAGCAGAAGGGCAAGTCTGCACTGAGTTTGTCCCCGCCGCAATGGTGAGCGCAGGACAAAGGGCAGATAACAGCTATCTCCTTCCCCGAAAGCTGCACCTCCTTTAAGTAAACCTTCATGTCTCTCGATCCCTGGAAAATATGCATTTTACAAATGCAGCTATAAGCTATTTAATGCTTTGCAATGCTAAGCTAACAAATAACGCGGTCCCCTTGTGCTGCTCCCCCATGGCAACGTCAGCACTTTCGACGCTGAACCTTAGTTTTTCCTCTACTAAAACCCCCACAGTCTGACTCCACTAATATCCAGTAAAAATGTTTGATGATCCCTGTCCCCATCGCTGTAGTTACTGACATTTCAAGTTTAACACACTGAAATCGTAAAAAGTGACTCTTTTTGACCTTAACAGAACCATTTCCCCATTCTTGTGGTGTTTGGTACTTTGCTGGGGTACCAGGGAGACATTACTGTCTGCACTGGTTTGCCTTCCGGCCAGCCCCTTTAGGCAGGAAAAGGCCAAACAGCTCCTCTTCCTCATCAGCAGGAGTATTTAAGTATCATTCAGAGATCCAAAGTCTGACCTTTCTCCGGAAGGAAAAAAAAAGATGTCCGGAGTCCTGTCTTTCCAGCATCACGGCAGTACATTCTTCAAGTGTTGCGCTTTTATATGTTTTTTTTAATCTTCTCGAGTGAGACGTTATTAAACATTTTCAGTGGTCCTGGCCCAGATTTTGGGGAATCTGTTGGGTTTTTGGAAGAGGAGGGAAGAAGGCAGGGCTACATATACGGGTGATAAAATGCCGTCATTTCCCTCACTCAATTAGGGAACTTGGCTGGAAAGGGTGATGTCAATGAGAGGGACAAGGTAACATAGCGCAAGTGTTAAATGGAGGGCAAGCACTTAGAAATGCAGAGCTCCTAGAGCGGGTGGGAATACACCTCCTGCGTTGGGACAGCCGGAGTCCTGGCCACTGGATCAGGTTTAGAGAGCAGCTGGTCGCACATGGGCAGAGAGAATCACACGCTATCAAATGCTGGTCATAAATCCAGAGGAAGACTTTCCCAATGAAGCCAAGCTGTCAGGAACATTGCCTCTCTGACCTCAGAAGCTACGTGTTGCACTGGGGTGCTGCAAGGTCAGAAGACCCCAAGACGGATGCTTTTCAGGGTCTGTTTTTTCATAGATGGGTTGCAGAGGCAGGTGGGAAAATGTCTGGGTTTATTCAAACAGGGGAGTAAGTTGAAATTGAGTGGTTTGACAAAAGATGGCTTTCGTATTTCTATTTCACATGCCGACTTCTGGTGCAGCTCTGAAAGGTGACACCAGCTTTGGTGCTTAGTGGATATTTTTCCTTAAGACTGACATCTCTGACCTTAACTTGGCTTCCTTACAAACTTTTTTTTAAATTGTTGGCTGGTTCTGCTTTATGATGCACAGCAAAGCTGGCCAGCCTTTCCCTATGAAAACCCTACTGTGGTGAACCTCTCATATCTTCTGTTTGGTATCCTATTCATAGCGCAGTATGGCAGATGGATGGATGTAGGCTATGAACAAGTTAAACCGCGAACCTTCTGTAATTCTTGCTCTTCCTTCTACCTCTCCCAAACTTATAAGCCTTCATTGCAGAAGCTAGACCCAAGGGGAAGACCGATTGTTGTGTTCTTGACAAGTTAACCACCCAAATATGGACCGATCCATCCCCAGAGAGCATCATCCGCAGGGACAAGGCCAACCTACAGTTGAGATCTCTGAAATGAAGCCCTTCAGGTTAAACTCCGATTACCCTGTGGAGTCTGTGGAACAGCAAAATCTGGTCAGGGCACCCACCTGGTGTCCCAGGAGGCATCATTCTGCACCACGTCCCAGCTGTCTGAACTGTTGGCGTATCTCTCCACCGTCAGGAAGTTGTGTTCAGTCTGGAATAAGAATGGCAGAGTTAGCCCGATGCTGATGGGACAGGTGTATCCCTACTTTTCTGTGGGATATAAATATATATATAAATAAAAGGGACTATACTTCTGTGTGCTTTACTGGCAAATGCGGTAATTACTAGCAAAAATGCTTGTATTTCATTGCAAAAGCACAAATTTAAGCTAAAAAATGACACAGAGAATGAGTGAAGAACTTGATTATTAGAAAGAGAACGGACAGGTGAGGTTCTTTGCTAACAATGTCTATGCAAGGTGAGTGATGGGAGGAATGAAGTACTTTTCTAATTTTCTTTGCTTTGTTAAAACAATGCACTGAGACAATAGGATGGAGACCAGAGACCATGCTTGCTACAACTGGATGGCACTGGTTACCGACCGAGAGAGAGTGTCTGGCCTAGCGCATGACATGAGTGCCTTCAACTTCAGTAGTATGAAGAAATCATGAATAGTCCGTATCTGACCAAAATAAGGACTTTGCCCCAAAAGCATTCTGGTGGTGTGAATTCCCAAAGCACAAGCTAAAGGGAAAAACCATCTTCTTCTGAACTCCCAGAAAAGGAAAAAAAGTACTGGAAGCACACGATCTTACTCTTTCTGAAACCTGAAGGTCAAAGATTAAAATGCTTCAGGCAGAGGCAGTAACTAAAGATTCACTAATCCCGAACATCCCCAATTTCAGCGTTGTTGCGTCATATTTACCGCATTCTCTGCAGAGTTCCTGGGGTTTGCGCCTACAAAAGTTACTTCAGCAACGTCTCTCTGTGGGTGAAATGGAGATTTATATTAAAGACTGAGCAGCAAATTGCACATTAAGAACATCCTTTGAAGATGCCATATGAGTTTTTTAGTGGTTTGGTTGGGGGTGTGTGTGTGGGTATTTTTGTGGAGGTTTTTTTTTGTTTTGGTTTGGGTTTTTTTTATTACTTGTACTTTCACTTGTTGCAATAGCAATGGAAATTTTATACTGCAAACTGATATTCTGTGCCTTGCCATTCCACTTATCCTGCTTGCTGGGTAAACTCCACCACAGCACACAAGATTTCTGTGTAAAAGAGGGAGGGAAACAGGCGAGATTTTTAAGAATGCCTCCCCGCCTTCTTTCTACCTTACTGCTGGAGACAGCAATGAGATGAAAGTCCTTGCTCTGAACACCTTATCTAAATTTTAAGCATTGCAAACTGAATCCTTTCTGACATTTTTATTACATTTACATTCCATTCCACATCAAAGGTGACCTGATTTCTGCTTGTAAAGAAATCGCTGTACAATATTCGCCTATTTAATCATCAGCTGTTATTTTATGTCGAAGCAGAAGAGGAAATCTTCTTCATGTTGGATAAAGGGCCTTTATTTTCCCCTTCATTCACTCATTTTAATCACGTTCAGTACAACGACGTTGACATGAAAATGCTCTGTCTCTGCCTTTTCAACCATGCCCACTAAGAGCAACGAGACCTTTTTGGTCTGAGCGCACCACGACCCTTTAGGAACCACAGAATTTTTCAGATGAGGGGTAAGAATTTAAAGACGATTTCCTAAAGAGGTTTTAGCAAGTTCTTGAAGCTCTCACCGCTTGATACTGTTGTCTCACTTCTTGCAGCACATCCCCAAATGTCTTATTCACCGGCGCGCGATCGGCAATGAGAGGAGGCACCAAGGTGATGTTACCTATAGTGAAAACTGGGGGCTCTGGACCATGCGGCAAATCCTGAACTGTGTTCTGGGAGAGGGAAGATGTACTCATTATACATACATGTAGATAACTGGTATCTCCCTGATGGATCGCATCACTGCTGTGGCTCTTTATCCAAGTCCATTACTTAGATTTTAAGAACAAGGGCAATTAAGTGAGCTTGAAAACAAACAAGATCATCTTCATGTGCTCTCTGCATGCAGGAGCAATCCCCGCAGGACCCACTGTCCTATTGCTGAGGTCCCCCAAATCTACCTGCCGGAATATCCCACGACTTCAGGAGGCAGCACCCACCCACCAGTCCTGCACGTTCACATGGTCCACAGACACAATGGTGACGGACATCGCCATGTACAGCAGAAATGTAGCAGATTTTTTTTTGTCTTGGTAGAAAACCAGCAACTTCAGGCCATGCTGAAAGGTTGGAGGTACTTATTTCCTAAACTTTAAACCAAAAACCCCCCAGAATTTCTCAAGTGGAATGAGACCCTCATTTGCAGGAATTATTTTCATACCACGTGAGAATTTCTCAAAGCGATTTCTTATGAGAAAAGAAAAGGTAGCAATCATGCAACCTCACTGAGGAACAAATATAGCCATCACCATTTACAGGATTTATATATCTCTAGCAGCATGTGGCACACAGAAAATTTTGATTACCGTAGCAATAGCCCTTGCAAGTCCTCTGTACAGTTGAATATAAGCAGAAAGGGTGTGCGGCCCATAAATAGTTGATGCAGCCTCGTATCGTTGAACCTAGCAAAGGACAAATTTGGGAAAGGAGGGTTTGAGGACTCTTAAGCAGTTTATGCAGCTAATCCTACTGTGCCAAGACAAGATCAGCACTGTACCGGCGGGGGTTTATTTGCTCCCTTACTGCTAGGAAGACAGCCCAACAACTTGCCTAAGTATTTCTGCTGCCATTTCAGGTTGCTCTTCATTCTCTAATCCATCGCAAATAGGGAGGACCAGTTGTCACTCTCCCAATTATCACAGCTCTTTTACTCTTTTAAAGGCTTATGATGTAGGTCGTCTCCTCTCCAACATTTTGGGTTGGAGAACCACAGTTCTTCCATCCTTCCCTCCCAAGTTAAGGGTTTCTGAACCCAAGGACTCCATCCAATGGTCCACATGTTCCTCAAAGCCCAGCATCTACCATGCCTTGTGAGGACCCTTACAAGTGAGCTTTGCAAGCTATATTATGGTCTTTTCCACAGCAACACGGCACTGCAATTCATGTTTGCCTTACAACCATACAGCTCCGAATCTTTCTTCTGGCAACTTTGCCAACTTAGGAAGATAATTTCTAATTCATCCGTGTCATCAGCAGGTTGCTAAACCAGACCTGAACTCACAGGAGCTCCCTTCAGTACATCTGACCATTTCCACATTAAAGCATCCATCCATGCTCTCTAGCTAGTCGACCATGTCGTCTAGGCCAGAATAAACAAGAAGGTCTCGTGATTTCTGCCACAGGTCCTTCAGCTTTTTGTGGCAAAGGAAAGGTACTCTAATTGTGCATAATTTCACATGAATTATCATCCCATATAGCCAAAATTTGAACTCAGTTAAATAGTTCAATCGCAATTTTAACATTTACCTGGTATTCTTCATAGGTGGTAATGTAATGAGTGTAGACATTGCACAGACCTGCAATTACGACATCCATTCTTGGTGTACCATGAGAATCAAATTCCTAAGAAAGGAAATAAAGCACTTATCTTGTAACAACTGTTTAATGCACAATTATGTTGTTGTTATTTACCAGGACAGAATACAAAGTTATGGTGGGAGGGGGCTGGATGTGCAGGAACGCAACCCTACAAGTGTAATTTGCCTTTATTAATGTCTCATATTTACTTCCCAAAGAAAAAGAGGAGAAATGAACTCATACTGCAGCAAATTCAATAAATTTAGGGCTTTTTTGAAGCTGATATCTGCATACTCCTAAAAAAAACTGGTGATATAACTGTGTGAGACAGGCTTAGTGAGTTGTGGAGACAGTGTCTGAGATGAAGCTGGTATTCAGGCTGCAGCTGAGAAGAGGATCTATCAATCAGGAAAATGGAAAAAATACATTTGCCATTTTTTTCCCCCAATCGTTCTCGTGTTGCAAAATCCCGGTAGGGATTAAGGAGATAAACCCCTCCATCCCAGAGACAAAACTCCTGCTAGCATCAGTTACGCCTGGATCCCAGTTGAGTTTGCCTGTGTTGGCTTAATGGATTGAAACTCGACCGGTTTGCTTCTTTTGGGGAGGATTTTAATTTCTCCTGCATGTCAGCAAGCACATGCAAAATGTGTCTGAGGCAATCGTGAGAAGGAAACATCTGAGAGACACGAAACCCGTGACCTCAGCTGGGAGGAGACCAAGGAAAGACCAGAAGGATCAAGAAATGTGAAGTTCCAGATACGCTGCACTCTGAGGAAACCTCTCCCTCAGCAACTTACTTTTTTAACAGCTTCCCGTAGCCTGCGTCCAGACATGGTCCTGGGGGCATTAAGGGAACAAGGTCAGTCTCCAGAAACATGGGGAGCTAAAGCAGGAATCGCTGGTTGGACATGCAGCACGCCACCAGAAATTCACATAGCACTTGCAGCGCTGCTCAGCATCCCTTATGGCTTCTCTGCGATGAGCTCAACCAAAACACCTCAAAACATTTCACATACATCATCGCAGCCAGGGCGAGGCTGGAGGCACCCCAGGGTGGGATGGGGTACTAAAAATAGTGCTAGGAATAAATCATTATCCTATTCAGATTTTCACCATCGCACCGTCAATAGCCAGTGCAATTCATGATTACGGTGTTTGTGCCGTGGGGGGGAAAAAAAAAAAAAAATTGTTCAAATTTAACAAGTTCCTTTCGATTCATTGAAACTGCATTTTGCAATGAACAGTTCAAATTATTTAGGAAGCTTGTTCGCATCTCATTCATTCCTATGGCTAGTTTACAAATTGGAGAAGAAAAACCATAGAATCATAGAAACACATACGTGAACTCTCCAGGAACAGCAATGATTGCTAGTGATCCAATGGCAGCAATCTGAACGTCCACGACATCAGGGTGCCATGGGTGAGGCCGAGTCATCTGAGGTGGAAAAAAAGCCAAAAAAAAGTGGATGTGACTATTGTAGGAGAGTAGCAAAAAAAAAAGATAGCTGAAATGTTGTCCTTCCTACAGTCATAAATCAGGCAAATAGATTTACTTTGCAGACAGGAACACAAGAAAAACTTTTACCTCCACACGTACAGCAAGCTGTCTGACCGTAACTGATAAGGCACGTGTAAATATTACGGGTAAGGCAAAAAGAAGGTGTTGCCAGAGAGGGAGCTTAAAGCAAAGTGGGTAAATAAGGTCAGGGTCGCACCTAGAACCCCCTCACCTGCGTGGGAAAAGGACATCGTGAGGATCAACAGGGTTGATCATCTCACCAGGAGGGCAGGAGCAAGTGAGTGAAATCAGAGATCCCGATGGCAACGGGAAATGAGAGTTACCCCTTCGTTAGCTGAGCAAATGCACCATCGGTTGTGATGTAGAGGGAGAGTTTCTAAGTCACCCAGAGAGTGATGCTCAGGGAACCCTTGGCCTCGCCCTGACCTCAAGCTGCCTCTTAGCAGGGACCACACCGTGCTCAGACTCAGCACCACTGCAGCAGCCACAACACACGCTACAGAAGCATCTTGTCTTAAAAAAAAAAAAAAAAAAAAAAGCTAGATAAAAGTGAAGAAGCCTGTTAAAAGGAAATTAAGAACAACAGGAGCTGAAGGGTGGCATGGCTCCAGCAAGTAAAATGCAAAATCCCACTCCAGCAAGCCAAAAAGATTTTTGAGGAGTAATTTACTGGGGGCAAAACATGAATAACAAAACCTTGTGAAGCACACCAGAAGCAGGAAGCCTGCCAGAGCATCCGTGAAAGGATGCTCAAAAGGTGATAAAGTCGTTAAGAATAAAGTATAATTTACTCTCAGTAGCACCATCCTGGATGGAGGAGGTGGGGTGGGAGGAGGCTCTGTGCTAGGACCTCTTTTTATGAGAGGTGAAGTGAGGAGCTGATTGAACACAAAGTGACACTAGGAAAGCTTTTAACGAGATTGGTGAAAGGAATAACAACGGATCGCCTCATCCAGATGGCATCCTTGAGGTGCTCTAAAGGACCTTGGACATGATCCCGCTCCGCTACAGCGCGTTTCCCTTAATGCCAAGGGAACAGCAGGTGGAAAAAGGGACATCAATTTTCTTCTAAAGTTGTAAGTAGGATTTTGGGAAAGTTTGGTGAGAACAAACACCAAGTCCTGCCCAGGACAGAGTGGCCCCGAGCATGGGGATGGGCTGGGACCAACGGGGCAGCAGCTCTGCAGAGGCTGGTCCTATGAAACAGCCCTTCCCTGTGTGAGTGGGGCATCCCGAGCAGTGGGGGATCTCCATCCTTGATGACTGCCCTGACTCTTCTGGACATGGCCCTCAGCATCCTGCTGTAGCTGCAGTGTTGGTCCTGCTGGGAGCAGGGCCGTGCTGGAGAACCCCACCCCAGTGTACCTCCAGCCTGAGCCTGGTCTCATTCCACCTGTGGATGCGCAAGTCTGGCATTAGTCAACGTTACAACTCACAGAACTAGCAGACACTTGCATAAACGTGACAGAAAAGTGGAGAAGTCAACAGGACATCTCCAGAGGAAGTCAAAGCCTGGTAGAAACCTTTGAAGACAACACTGAGAAGGTGGGTAAGTTCATACAGTCCCCAGAGTTTCCAAAAGGCTCCATGACAAATTACTTCATTTTGCATGGACTAGTCTATCAAGTGACAGAAAGAAAGGTCCTTTCATGGGTTACGTTAGGAAAACAATGATAGGATGGAAGAAAAATCCACCCAGAGCTATTAAGATCTGAGCACCAGCAGAGGATGTCCTGGAGCCAGAGACTGCTGGGAGGCAACGCTGAGCTCCACGCACCGCTGGCTTTCCCTGCCCTCATGCATTTTCCCTGCGCATCCTGCTTAGGGCTGCTTCACAGGTAGAGAATGAGGCCAGGGTGGGTCTTGAGTTGGGGTTTTTTGACCCTAATGAGAGCAGTGGGTTTGGTCCCTCCTCCTGGGATATATGGAAAAGATGTTCTGCAAGAGGAAAACTTCCACCTCTCTCATTCCAATGCAAACTAATGACAACACTTATTCTTGCTTTCTGTTTTCATGCTTTCAAAGTCCATGCAGCTCACTCTCCCTCCTTGTTCTTCACCATAGGGACTGGCACAGACGTCGTCTGTAGCATCCTACCAAAATAAGCCCAGATCATCAATCTCTGCACTTCTCAGGGCACACACCGGTGTATCCTTACCTCTCCGGTGCTAAAGAGGATTGGCTTGGGTTTGTGGCAGGCTTTCGTTTCATTGGATGGCTCTCCCAGCAGCTGGTCCCGGATTTCATCCCAAAATGGGTCCCCTTCTACTGAGCCTTGAGGGGGAAACATCTTTTAAACACTGTTCCTTCAGCTGCCCCAGCAGCTATCCGACAGAAAACTCATTTATTACCCCCTCCCTGCTTATGTCAAATAGAGTATTTCTCAGTGGATTCTGACTATCTCCCTGTTCTGGGGTGGTTTGAAAAGCCGAGCTTTAGCCCAGCTGAGCTCCGTCTTGGCAGCCTTTGGGTAATGAGAACAAAGGAGAAAGATTGCCCCAGAGCCAGCTCTTTCTTCTCCCCACTCCCCATCCAGCACGCTCCTTCCTTCAGAGCATGGTCATGTCTTTCTCCAGGAGCTTTCTGACAAACTCAGACAAATTTCCGAGGGGGCTGTAAGATCACACCTTCCTAAAAAGCATCCCTTAGGAGACTGCGGTTCATCCAGCTGTTGATGTTCTTAAATGACTCGGGGGGTTAGAATCTATTTGGGGGATGCCCCATGTCCTCCCCATTTGTATGAAGCCCTGTTGACATCTGGTCCCTAAATTACCTTGTGTGAAGTTGAAAGCCCCCACTCCGTCAATAGTCCCCGCGGCAAAGCTGTGTCCTAAGGCTGGTTTACATGTTTTAACCTTAATCGGTAAGGGGGGGAAATAAAAAAAAGAAGTATTTTAAAACCAACTCTCATCGGTGTGCCAAGTCCTGCTATGAGAATATAACATTTCTTCCTTACGCCTGTGTCCCGGGAGCTCCTCCCGCTCTTACCGTGTGCGTGGCATTGAGCTCCACCGAGACATCACTCATGTTCACCCACTGGTGAGCTGAGCTGAGGGGTCCTGTGACCTCTTGGGAAGCTTTTTCGTACAGCTCCTAAGGGACACACAAGGTGGAAATCCTTGAGGAAGAAGAAATCAGGAACCCAGCTCTTCTGAGATTCAGCTACATGAATTATTTCTTCATTCTGTTGACACCTTCCAGCAGCCTCTTGCAGGTGTTAAAGCAAGAGTGTATTTCCCAAGCTCCTTTGTTTCTATCACCGGGCATTTCACTTTTGGCATTTCTCACGTCTTAGACCAACCAGAAGAAATGTTTTCTATGAGAAAGATGCGCTTTGCTGCATTCATTGCTTCGAAAGGCATGGGCTTTACCATGCATTCACTATACAGCTGGCAGCTAAGCCATGCAGCTCTTCCGTGAATGCTTTTTCTGGCACACGTGCCTTGAGTTGGTACACAGAAAGTGTTGCCAGAAGTTCTACAGGTTTAGTAACGTTCCTGTAACTGCAGGAAGGAATAGAGGACACAGCCTTTGAAGGCCAAGAGTCTGCAGTGTTAAAAACGACAGCAATGTTTTCCCTCGCCATTTGATACACGCACCGGGCCACCCCGACTGGGACAAGCTTTCACTTGCAAGTCACGATCAGCCTGGAGTGACTTCAGGGCAAGCATCTGAAATGGTAATTAAAAGGAAACCGCCACTATCAAGCCTTCTGCTCTTACTCCTCTGCTGGACCCGTTCCGGTTCCTACAAGCTGCTGTCCCTGAAGCAGTGCCAAAAAATGTCCTCTTACTGACTACTCTCACGTTACACGAAGCCCCAGAAGGGGAACCAGTGGACTGAGATGACTGTGGAGCCCAAGGACACAGGTGACGTAAGGGAGGCCGTAGGGTGGACGACACCGGCTGAGCAAATGCAAAGTCAATCAGGGCAAGATGAGTATCTTCTGTGGATGTTTAAGCTGGCACATTTTAACCACATTTGAGTTAGTTTGGGAGCGCGATGCCAAAGTCGGCCAACAAGTGGTATGTGGTGGTGTCTCTGAGCTCTTCTAGGAGTCTTCAACACCAGCGATCTTTCCCATCATGACACCTCTGAGGTGTGTGCATGGGAGGGAGGGTGAGATTATAAGGGGCGACATCCACATTATATACAAATGAAGAATATCGAGATTAAAAGCCCAAACGAACATTTTCAAATTGCAAAACCTACAATGACGTATCTAAACAGAAGTGTGTGCTTTCTGAATAATCAAGAAACTTTTCCTTAAGCATATAAAAATGGACTTTAGAGTAATTTAAATCTACAAACATTCACAAAAACTGGTGCAAGAAAGTCGCTTAAATGAACATGCATTCCCTGTAATAACGGCATTCACGCAGACTCATAAAGAAAAAATATCACTTACCCTTGCTTTCAAGTAGATATTTTGCCCTATAATTCTTGTACTGTCAAACATGTCGTTCCCGGGACCCGCGGCCATGCACATCGTTGCCTGTTAACAAATTTGTTTAAATGTTAATGATCAGTTAATGTGGAGAACATGTGGTGCTGCGAAGTGGATTAGTTCACAAGCGATTGTCATAGTGTAGGAACTAATTGCTTCTTGCTAGCCACCTCAAATTTGGGCACCGGGTTACTACCCTAACCTTTGCAGCAAGATAAATTTAAGTTCGGGCTGAATGACCAGAAAACAGGGTGCATGAGGACAAGACACAGTAAGTTCGTGAAAGAAGTATCCAGCATAGTCCAAAAAGATGTGATGATTTTTATGTCCTCTTCATGCACAATGGTCCACAACGTGGCTCTGTATTTGCTGCTCCACCCCAAGTTTTCTCCTTATCGGAAGTTAAAGCAGACCAGTTAAGATATACTTACCCCCCCAACGGGACAGGTGCTCTGTGGGTTATTGCACGACTCCCCCGTGTTGATGCAGAAGGGGCCTTTGGTGTTGGGCGACACATCTCCCAAGTTGGAGGATGCGAAGGCGGCAACGAAAGAGCCCTGCCAAAACCAGACATGGGCAGGTGGGTTTGAGGGCCTTGCAGTGATTGCAAACATCACCTGCAGCTTTCCCGGCAGTCAGGGCCAGCATTACGGCCAGTTAACGAACACGCAATGCTGGTGAACGTTTCTGAAGTGACTGGGAGGGATGGATTGGGGATTTAGGAGTGTCCCAAGGGTTAGGGACAGGAGCAGCAAGGAAAAACAGGGCACATGGGATGCAACTGCCATTTCACAGGGACCTTCAGACCGCTTTGGTATCCAGACAGCATTTCTTCATCTACCTCTTTCATCTCGGCGGCAGCTCTTCCCCCCGTGGCCCCAGTTTCTCATGTTACTGATCAGATGTTAATGGATCATTGTAGCACCTTGCACAGGATTTTTTTTTTGTCTGCCAGGCTTTCACCATGGCTGATTTACAGGGTGAGAGCTATTGGATCTGACTGCAGGACTTAACATCAAGCAGTACTCGTTAGAAGCAAGGCTGATTACACACCGAGTGTCAGCCGAATTCAGCTCTCACAGATACGCATTTTTTCCCCCCTCTTTTAGAGACGGGATGCACCAACACCAGATATTTTGATATATTATCAAGTCTTATGTCATTTTCTTGTAAGACTGCCCAGCAGACCATACGGCCAAATATTGAATCCTGCAAACACCTTTTAGCTTTGCATGTGTGTTGACTTGCACTGACGTGCATCCACAACCGTGCACTAGAGTCGAGCCTTGTTAAAAGCTTTTAGATAATCTGCTATAAAAAGAAATATTTTCAAGCAGGAATTAGGTAGACTTCCTTTAGTTTCCATCTTTGGTATGAACTGCACATGTTCCTCTGCCCAAAATGTTGCAATAGGAATTGGGCAACTGTTTCGAGGTACATGCTGGAGATACACGCAGGACACCCTCTTAATCAACTCGTGACTCAAAGCATCTATGAGATGGGGTCGTGTCATATTCACATTTCAGGGGAAATAATGCTTTTTAAAGGAGCTGTGTTTGCACTCTGAGGATGGCAAATCTTTTGGAAAGGTGAAAAATCAGAAGGCAGAACTGGCTGGAAGCCATGAGAGAGGAGTGGGGCTGACCACAGACTTGATGCCACACCACAGATGCAATCCCTTTGGATCACGTATCCCACATATGTCTTTCTAGCATTTACAATAGTTGAATGAAAAATCTGGTTTACTACTGAAATCTAAATAAATGCTACTGATTAGTAGTTTGGAAAGTCAAGAGTACACCTTGCAATTCCTCCTCTCTCTTGGAATCATAGAATCTTTAAGGTTGGAAAAGACCTCTAAGATCATCAAGTCCAACCGTCAACCCAATACCACCATGTCTACTAAACCATGTCCCGAAGTGCCCCATCTACACATTTTTTTGAGCACCTCCAGGGCTGCTGACTCCACCACCTCTCTGGGCAGCCTGTTCCAATGCCTGACCACTCTTTTGGTGAAGAAATTTCTCCTAATACCCAATCTAAACCTCCCCTGACGCAACTTGAGACCACTTCCTCTTGTCCTTTCACTAGTTACTTGGGAGAAGAGACCAACATCCTCCTCACTACCACCTCCTTTGAGGTTGTAGTAGAAGAAAGTAAATAAAGAAGAAAGTAAATAAATCAGAAAAGTAAATAAATCAGAGCTTAGAAAAAGTAAATAAATCAGAAAGTAAATAAATCAGAGTGCTCATCTTTGTCCTCCTTTTTCTGTGTTTACCCTGACGTCCTGTTTCACTGTTTGAGAGAACCTGCTTTGGTCCGTAGAAGGCACCAACCACCCCCTCCCTGCTGCAGCACTTTTCCTCCCCCCGTTATTTTCAGGAGTCTGAAAACACTCCCACCTCTCCAGGAAGCATCCCCTTGTTCTTATCCTGTTCGAACAAGTAAGAGGCGTAGCCCACATTGTCGCTGTTCACAAGATGGTTTGTGTTGTTCATGCTGACCGGGTGCACAGCAAACCAGCTGAAGAGGAGTCAGAAGGCACACATAGGAAATGCATTGTTCAATCTGTATATTCACAATTGATTTGTTCAATCTATATGTTTGCGCTTGACTTATGGGAATTTTCTTTAGGGGAATACAAACACAGACTGTTGGTACCTAGGGGTGGATTAACAAGGGCAGAGTTATTCCCATCCTCTCCCTTCCTGACCAGGAGGGCTTGTGGCTATGATGGCCCAGGTCTCGAGGCCACAAGAATCTGACACTGTAATTATCAGGGCCACCAAGAGCTATTTCAGACCTGAACTGACTCTTTTCTGAGTCCAGAGAATTATATTTTGGAGGGACTTTTATTTTCTTGCTTCAAAGAAACGAAGAGGAGTCAATGATGTAAAAAAGGGAAAAAGGAACGCTTTAGTTCTTACAAAAAAGAAAACCCTCCTCTTCCTCTTAATGCAGTCAGACTCTCGCTTGTGACTTCTGAACGAGCAAAACACAATTACAGCTTGGTGACTGCACGTTACTTCATTAGCCTGGCCTTGAGCTCTGAACTTCGTGCGGCTGAACGCTGCCCCGCAGATCTGTTGATAGGACTGGTGTCGTAAATGCTGCCTGTGGGAATGGCACGCTTCCCAAGAAACATGTGGTGTTAAAGACAATAACCAAGAGACGAGGAGCCCAAAGGGTTCTGGAGACGCAGGGGCCAGGATCTGCTTGGAGAGGCACAGTGAGGACCCCAGAGGGGACTTTTCTGCACCCCTACAAGGGAAGACCAGCTATGGACATCTTGCCCAGATGCCTTTGGGCCATGCCAGGAGATGTGCCCAGCTGTAGGTGGGCCAGGTGCTGCTGTATCTCCCAGAGTAGATGAGGGACTCTGACCTGGCTTATGCACTCATGGATTCTCACTTACTCTTCCCTCAGAGACCCTCTGGTGACTATATGGGAGCAAGGCTCTACGCGCAAGGGTCCGTGTTGGGAAGGAGAGCTTGTGAAGAAAGACAGAACTGCTACAGAACTGTGGTTTATGAGGATTTGGAGACAAACATGTCACTTTGGTGCTCAGTACCTGATAAGGCCTAGGTCCTGTCCATTCTCATCTACCATCTTCAGCATCACCATTTCTTTATCTGTGTTGGATGAATACCTGGGTGAAAATGAAGCAGGGAAATCCCATTAGCACCAGAGCCATGGTCACACTCTGCATTGCTCAGACATGTTAAATGTCCACTAAGTTGAGCAAGGAAATGAAGAGTTACAGATATTACCAGAGCACAGTGAAACCTTAGAGGAGCACCTGAAAATAGCTGTGAAGGGGAGGGAAGAGTTATGGTTGTTGCTGACCTCAGGTGCTGCTTCTCCAGGGGATGGAGCAAGGAGCTCTCTCCAAATACAAATTCAGGCACCAAGGATGGCACTTTAATACCGTCTGACCCCAAAGCTAACATCTACTAAAGAATTTTTTTCTTTTTCTTTTTTTTTTTTTTTTTTTTAAACAAAGCATAAGGTCACATCATTGGCCAATGCTTTGCATACTCGGAGGGGGCAACCACAACTTTTGAGCCCACTCTTGCAACTAATTTTTGGGGATGCTAACGCCCAAGTGCTCAGGATGGCAACAGTGTCATTCTGCCATGGTCTTGGCTCCACATTTTCAACCATCCCACGAATGACTAGAAACACCAGCTGCAAGAGGACTGGGTCATGGTCCCAACCAAAGGGTCCTCTTCAGGGCTCTGTTTCTCTCCTGCTTGAGGAGGTTTTACCTGCTTCGTTCGGATGCTGGATTCTCAAGATAGGAGAAGGGGCTTCGGTTGATCTGGCTGTTTTCTACAGTGCCTCTGTTTATAAAAAGCTTTCCTTTCTTCATGTTCTGATGTGCTATATCAATGCTCTGAAAAGCAGGAAGGCAAGGAATATTGGTCCATGCATGTAAGGCATATGTGAGATTATCTGCAAAAACTCTC